GCTACTTAATACGTCATGCGGAAGTTGAGCTGTGGCGCTGTATGAGACAGTAAGCTCCCGCAGCCATTTTTGAAATTCTAACTAAGAGTAGAAATTCGTTTTAATCGAAGTCTTCCTTGGCGTCGCCGTCGTGGTTTCTAAAGGTCCCTATTAAGCAAACCACGACGCAACGGTAATGAGTACGTGGTAAAACAAGAAATCTAATTGGCAGAGTAATAGCTCAGCACGTGCATTTTAAAACTTTGTACATTTCTTAGCCGTCTTCTGCCAAACAACAACGTGAAATTACCAAAATTTACGTTGTCCGAGAACGGAAACCCCGATGGCCAATTATTTAAGTTTAAATTTATAACTCAACGTGATGCCGAGGTGTGAGCTTGAGGTGTGGTGCCGTAATAGACAAACACTTCCAGCCATTCGCGAAATTCTTACTATCAATTCAAATTCATTTTTTAATTGACGTTTTCTTCGCCGTTGTCGTCCTGATTGCTTAAGGTCCCTAGTTTCTCGAAAGAACACGTGACCAGGCATTGGAGTTTTAAACATATGTTGCTTCCAAATGGAAACCGAGTTCAGTTGATGGCACAAAGTTACGGATATAATCTAAGATGGCACTTTACTTAATTGTTGCCTCGTGTTTGAAAAACAAATAATTCCAATGTTACTCGTAAAAGTGATTTGTCCGTTTTGCAATGAAGTGGCTGTCAGAGTTAAATCAGTGGCGTTCGTCAGTTGGTTAGTCAGTTTTGATCAGTCGGTAAGGTTAGTTTGTTCTGTTTGGTCCGTTGGGTGACCGTCGTTTTCACGGTGCAGATAGTTGGTGTCACTTGTTGTGCGAAGTCTTCTCAAAGTTAATACACAAGCTTTTTAACGTCAGTCTTAAGATGAGTGTAAGTCGATGGTGTTCAGTAATGTGATTTTTGACGTTGAGAACATACGAAAATCAATAAAAGTCATTAAAAAAAATCAATTTTGAATTTTTAAGTATTTTGTCAGTGCCACCTTAAATTCACGTTTGTACGTCATCAACTGGGTTATAACTGTGATACTAACTGCTAAACATACCGAAAAAATGAGCGATCAGAGCTTAGAAATTTCTACTCCAAGTGTTAGCATTTCATAGCCAGAATTATATCAGTTCCTAATCGTTTCTGCCTTTAATTCGATTCAACGAGATTATCTGAGATAAATTACACCAAATAATAGCAGGTAGTCCAAATAAATCAAACGATCGCTCAGGGTCTGCATAACAATTCGTAACACTATAAACTATTCCAAAAATGGTGGCCAATTGAGAGCTCTTCATTTACCATGTCATCAGTTTGATCCATTCCAAGAAAATCGGCGAAAGAACAAAGACTCATTACAATAGTAAGAAATATAATGGGCCACCATTTTTGCTAGTATTACTAAATAATTTTAAAGTTCTCAACTTTGCAGTATCCACTAAAACGTCAGCGATTCCAGTGTCTTCTCTTAACCAGACTCTTTGTTGTTCCGTTCTTCTGATATCATTCCTCTTCCTGAAAATAAAAAAATATCAATGCGATCAGGGAATGCTTACTTTCCATGAGCCGGAAAAAAACTAGATAATTAAAATTTCGTATAACTATTTTTGTCTTTGAGACAATTATAGAAAAGGGGAAAGTATCAAAACTTTTCAAAATTTTATTTACAATGGAGGAAAGGCCGCTGAGTAGAGTCATCAGACCTTCACGTGGCTGCATTCAGTTACAAAACGAAGTCCCCAATACATTTATTAAGAACACTTTTACAAGGACGTTCCACAAAAAATACGTTTAAATCACAAGTTTTACTTTTCTCGAAGCTTATTCAGTCTAATTTCGAGTTGAAGCGGTGCGGAGCCGCTCAGACCGAGAAATCAATTCATGCTACGTCGTTGAACTGAGATGATACGTCTCGTTTATGGCTCTGAAGGCGATATTTTCTAAAAGCAAAGTTCACCTGTTGTTGTATTGCTTTTGTTGCTCTTTTTTCAGGTTTAG